AACTGCTCTCAACTTTACCCCACTCCTGTTGCTCCTTGTCCAAGCTTGTCACTTCCTGTTCTTTGTAGTGGATTACACTGTGTATCCCATACTGTCTTCCCTCTACTGTTCTCACTCGCTTTGCTTGCTCACTCACTCACACAAACAAGTGGGCATACTCTGCCTTTCTTCCTTACTGCCATTGCTACTTCTCTGATCCCACTTCCATTTAACTTCTGTACTGAAACACAGAGCATAGGAAAAAAAATAATGGTAATAGAGTTGATAGAGTTTCTACAGAGGATAGCTTGCAGGCTGAGAAAGGACATAATGTTTTATCTTTTGAGGAAAGATGACAGAAGAACCGCTTCAAGAACAGTGAGTGAAGAATGAGTCATCCAGGGTGGGAAAGGGGGAAGTTGTCACCTCACTTCCCATGAGTCAGGAAGCCTCCACAAAGGAGGTGGAATTTTAGGCAGTACTTCATCCTCATCCTGAACCTGTGGGTTCAGTTTCTCCAGTTTGTCAGCTTACCCTGGCTTGATTTTCTTTCTACCTAATCTTCTCTGAGCCTTCTCACCTCCAAGTTCTTCTCCCTAGTTTCCCCACAGATCCCCCAATTTCATTTCCCACTGTCTTCCTGCCTACTTCCCTAAACTCTGCTGGGAGCTTAGCTTGGTGGTGTTGCCTGTAATCCCAGTACTCAAGAGGCAAAAGCTGGTAGATCCTGAGTTCAAGGCAGCCTGGACTACATAGTGAGACCATGTCTCAAAACAAACAGAGGACCTAAGCTCTGCTAGGGACTATTATTCTGCATGGTCCCCCTATTCTATGGGCCTTTCATCTCTGCCACTGAGCCTACCCAGTGTCTATCATCATTGATATTAGACTTTTATCACTTCCTAAAATTCTTACAACCTGCATGCTTAATGAATGTCTTACCATCTGACTAAAGGGAAAATTGACTCCTTTAGATGAAAATTTCATCGATCCTCCCAATCCACTTACAGACTTAATCTTCACTGTTATATGTTTCAGTCTATTAGCCGAGGCCAATGTCTCCTCATGTGTAGTAGATCCCATTGTTCCCTTCGGCACATATAAACAAAACAGGCTCCAGCTCTTCCTATAAAAAACAAACAAAAAATGCCATTAGAATCAATCTAGAGGTAAGAGCTAGGCACTTAAAAACTCCCCAGATAACTCTAATGTGCTTCTGAGCTGAAAAATAAAAACAGGCTAGGAATGGTGGCACACACTTGTAATCCCAACACTTAGAAAGTAGGAGGATTTGTAAGCCATCTATATATATAGCAAGACCTTATCTCAACACACACTTAACCATGGCTACAAGGTTCTTCAAATGATTTATATTTCCCTTTCCTGCCTTCGTGCGTGCGTGTATGTGCGTGTGTGTGTGTGCATGCGCGCTCCTCTCTGCTTGAAAGGCCATTCTGTACCTTCTAGACAGGGTTTTTTAATGCTCAACATAGGCATCAATTTTGTGAAGTCTTCAAGAACTAACCTCTACCCTGGATTAACACCCTGCTCCCAGTGTTTTTCATAACCCTCTGGGTTTATCTCTATGGAAGTACTACATGCTACTGTAGTCATTTTTATGTTTGTCTATTCTGTTAGAGAGTTTCGCAAGAATCTCAAAGGTATAGATATACCATTTAGCATGATTTGGGTCTGTTATCAGATACTGGAAGATGTTTTCTCTTAGAACTGAATAGTCTTTAAGAATGTTTTTGTTGGGGCTGGGAAGGTGGCTCAGTGGTAGAGTGCTTGCCTTGCATGCATGAGGCCCTGGGTTCAATTCCTTAGCACCACATAAGCAGAAAAAGCTGGAAGTGGTGCTGTGGCACAAGTGGTAGGGCACTGGCCTTGAGCTAAAGAGCTGAGGGACAGTGCTCAGGCCCAGAGTTCAGGTTCCATGACCAGCAATAAAACAAACAACAACAAAAAAAAAGAATGTTTTTGTTTAGTTAGCCAACATTTATGTAGGTCTTATCATGGTCATTTATCAGTGTGGCCCAAGTGAATAAATGTATAGTTGAAGTTTTCTGTCACTAATATGTTTGGACTTTGGGACAGGCTCATAGTCAGTCTATACTAGTCTTCTGTATCTTCAATAGAGTTCTTTTAGAGTATAGTGCTTTTAAAGCAGTGCTTGGCACACAATAAATTGTTTAGGAAAACTTTGTTAAATGAATGCTTGTGAATCCACATACATGCATATTTTTTGTTAACAAATGGGGCTATTTCCCCAGCTTGTCTGGTTTTTTATTTATTTTATTTTTATTTATTTTTACAGAGTCTGTTTAGCCCAGGCTAGCCTCAAATTTGAAATCCTCCTGCTTCAGTCTTTCCCAAGTGTTGGAATTTACAGCTGTGTGTTGCCACATCTAGTTCCTACCATGTCTATTAATATTGAGAAAGTGATAATGCAAAGCACTTTACATGAGTTATCTCCTTTAATCCTCCCAATAATTCTGAGAGGGGCGCTATTATTGTTTCCATTTTATAGAGCTCCTGTAATTTATATAAGGTCACACAGGTACTCATTGGAACATTAAAACTCATGATCTGGAGTCAGAGCTGACCTCAAAGTTATTTGAATATACTTGGAAGACATTAGGCCTTAATGTCTTAATTAGTCCATAAATGTGAATTGACTTAATGAATACTGACCCTACGGGAAGTAAAACACTTGAATTTATCCTGTCTTTTCTACTTGGCTCTAGGTAACATGATCTCTCTTTCCTTTCTTTCTTTGTCTCATTCATTCTACTATTTCTCAGTAAACATGATGGAGGATGAACTGAGACTGATGATGGAGATTTGAGAGGACTAAAACATGACCTCCCCCTGCTCTTTTTTTCCTCTTTCCTTTGTCAGTATCCTTTTCCCTTTCATTCCTCTTTTTTTTTTTTTTTTTTAACTCAAGGCTTGGGCACTGTCCCTGAGCTTCTTTTTTTGCTCAAGATTAGCACTGTACCACTTGAGCCACAGTGCCACTTCTGGCTTTTTCTGCTTATGTAGTGCTGAGGAATTGAACCCAGGACCTCATGCATGCAAGGTAAGCACTCTACCACTGAGCCACCTTCGCAGCCCAAGAATGCAGATATTACATTACAGGAAATTTTGGGGAGGAAGAGGAGAGAGCAAATTATAGTCTGGGGAACTGGACCATACCTTGTGCTGAGTCAGGGGGTAAGGCTTAAAGGTTGGAACAGTATGAAATAAATTGACCGTGTGTATGTATGTGTGTGTGTGTGTGTGTGTGTATAGGTAGGTAGGTAGGTAGGTATGTGGTACAGGGGCTTGAACTTGGGGCACTGTCTCTTAGCTTTTTCTCTCAAGACTGGAGCTCTACCACTTGAGCCAGCTTTTTTGTGGTAATCTGGAAGGAAAAATCTCATGGAATGTCCTGCCTGGGATGATTCAAACCACGATATTCAGATCTCAGTCTCTTGAGTAGCTAGATTTATAGATATGAGCCATCAGTGCCTAGCTAGCTGACATTCTTGGAAGGCACAGGGTGTAGCTCTGAAGAGTGATATAGGTAGAATAAGAGGACCTGGTAGCACCTTAATATACAATGATGCTAAGGAGACTGAACCATTGGAATAGTTGGATTTTTATTTTTTGCTATTTCCTGTCAAGAATAGGTACTAATGGGGCTGGGAATGTGGCTTAGTGGTAAAGTGCTTGCCTACCATGCATCAAGTCCTGGGTTTGATTCCTCAGTACCTCATAAACAGAAAAAGCGGGAAGTGGTGCTGTGGCTCAAGTGGTAGAGGTCTAGCTTTGAGCAAAAGAAGCTCAGGGGCAGTGCCCAGGCCCTGAGTTCAAGCCCTGGAACTGGCAAAAAAAAAAAAAAAGAAAGAAAGAATGAAAAAAGTAAAAAAGAAAGAATAGGTACTAATGAATTGGCTTAAAGGGATGTATTTTGGCTCTGCAATGAAAACATCCATGTAGCCACCACCTCTTTCTTCAGTCTGAATTCTGTTCACATTTGTATCAGCCAATTGTATAAGTGGTTCTTGGATCACTTATGCAAAGCACTGTTTAGGAGCTGGAGATAGAGATTTCATTTTACTGAAATCTGTTTCTTATTCCCAATGATGGTGGAAGTGGGGGCAAGAGAGTATAGAATTGATAACTAAATAGGCAGGTGGTGCATCTTGAGGGAATTCCCACTTGGTCTGCCTCCACCAATCCCATCTGTTTCCTCTTATGTGACTCTAGGGAGACTTGGCAACCTATGAAGGTGGGGTCCGACTCACCAGAGCTTAACATGGTCATGAGCACTACACATTTCAGTTCTCTGCTTCAAGAATAAAAGTCATACAGCCTCCTCTGGTCTTCAGTTCCTACATTCAGCCCCAGCCAACTTCATTTCAATTTCTTTTCCCCCTTTCACTACCTTGCAGGCCAGTTTAGTAAGTGATTCGCAGTTAGCCCCCAGAAGCTTCTATTCTCCCACCTCCATTCCAGGAAACTCTGGTGCTTCTATCATGGAGCTCGTCCAAGTTTATAGGCTCAGAGAGGATTGGCATCTGTGGCCAGCTGCTCCCACCAGCTAAGCCCCCTTGGGCCACCGGACTCAGCCTTCAGTACACACAGCTGGTCACCCTTACTCCTCCCCTGCCGCTTGGTGGGTCCCTGATGCAGGAAAGAGATGCTCTTTGGGCTGAGGGCTGAACCCTGGAACTTTCCCCAGAGTCCTAAGCTGCGCCTGCCGCAGCCAGCAGATGTGGGGCCTGTTGCTGGACTCATCAGAGGATCAAGAATGGGGCTGTTGAAGGCTGTGCTCCCCAGGCAGACCAGGCCGCAGCCACGGGCGAGGCGGGCCCAGGGAAGGGGTGGGGAGCCCGGGCTGGGTGTGCTTCCTGCCCCGGGATCTGACGGCCCGCCCCTGCCCCCGCCCCAGCGGCCAAGCCCGCGCTGGACGGCCCTCCTGCCTAGGCCGGCTGCCCAATCAGCAGGCAGTCCCCCCACCCGGCCCGCCCCCTCCCCCTCTGGTGACAGAAAGTCGGCCCAGCAGATGAGGAAGTGGCCGGCAGGCTGGCCTTGGGGACTTCACTCTGGTCCGGTTCCCTCTGAGCCCTCCGTGTTGCCCGCCTGGTCCCCACTGGTGAGTCTGGACCTTCCACGGCTCCCCACGTGCCAGCGCCCCCTGCCTGGCCAGCCCTGCCCCTACCCTGCCCTCCCTGCCCTGCCCTGCCCTGCCTTGCCTTCCTTGCTCAGGCTGTGGGCGAGGCTGTTCCTGGGGCGAGTGGGTGGGAGGTCCTAGCCGCTAGGGCCGGGCCTGGCCATCACCCTCCCTCGCTCGACCCTAGCTCCCTGGTCCCTAGTTGCGAACCACAGCCCTTTCTCCACCACTTCGGGGCTTACCCCTCTCCCTCTGATCCTCTCCTTTCCCCGATCCTTTCGTTTGCCGATGGCCCTTTCCCTCACCTCTATCTTAAAGGAAGGAAGGAACCGGCTGCATTTCCCTGCTGGGGACACACCCGGATTTCCCTTCAGCTTGGAGAGGTGCTTCCCAGAAGCCTGCGCCTCTCAGGGTGCCTGTGTGTAGGGTAGGGAGGGATAGGGATCCTGGAGGGGTGCTTGAGCAAGATAAGGAGCTAGCAACCTCACACAAGCTAGAGAGAACTGTTTGAGAGCACATGTCTAAGCCTAGGCATTAGGCCCTACCCCAGCATAGGCCACCAACCAAAGTCTGATTATAGGTAAAGAAACGGGAGCTGTCACAGGCCAGAAGACTGGTGTGAGGGAGGGAGGTGAGTGTCCACATGTGGTGTGCATGGCCAGATGCTTGCTCACTTTGTGCATGTGTACACAGTGCTTCTGGGCCTGTGCATGGTGATGTGTGGGTGCCAGGGGGACTGCAGTCCAAGCAGGTGTGTAAGTAAGGCTTAGGAGCCCCTGTGTCACAGTTCTATTGAGGCTAGTTTGGGTAGTGTGTCAGAGGCAGGGCACTTATGGACAGCTGGAAGTGTGTGGGCTATGTGCTAGCCCTGAGTGTGTGTGTGTGTGTGTGTGTGTGTGTGTGAAGCAGGTGTTTGGAGTGGGAAGGTGTGGATGACAGGGCTTGGGGCTTGGCCAGGTGGGTTTCTGGATGGAGGGAAAGGGGACCACTTGCTGTCCTAGCTATTGAGCGATCTCTCTGGGACAGTCTTAATGTCCCAGGCTCTCTTGGATCTAGGCAGAGGTTTTTGTATTCGTGTGAGCCCTCCCCCGACATTCTTTAGGCTTTGAGGAGGAGGGGGCCTAGCCCATTAGTAACCCTCCCAGAGGGAGGGGAAGATTCCTCCCCACCTCCTCACATGCCAATGGTGTTTTTGCCACCTCCAGGAAGGGAAGGGTGATTGTACCCATTCTGAAATGAGACATACTGAGAATTTGTGGTTGGTTCAGGGGAAGATGCTGGGCATGGAATTTTAGAAAGTTGTTGAGCCAAGGCCTGGGCCAGGGCCAGGGCCAGGAGAGGTTTCTGGAGCTCCTAGGATCAGGCTGATCTAGGCTGGTAGGTGGTGAGTCTGGGGCTTTACATGGCTTTCTCAATCTTGGTGGGTCCTGCTCCCCTAGGCATTGACCTGTGGCCTAGACCCACCCTCTACCCCATGTCCAATACAGCAGGGGCGGGCCGAGGGCGGGGCTGCTGCCAGATCTAGTCAGACAGGTGGAGCCGCCAGGGCAGGAGTCTCACAGAGCCAGGCTCCAAGAGAGGAAGGGTTCCCGGAGTGAAAAGGAGAGGAGAGCACCAGTGAGGAGGAGAAGGGAAGAGAAGAGAGGCTGGAGGTGAGAACCCCAGAAGACAGACCTAGGAAGACAAGTGTCTAGCAGGGGTGAGGAAGAACCCTAGTCTGCTAAGCTTCTGGAAAGGGCATTAAAAAGCCGGGAGGTAAGAATACTGGGGAGATGAGGGGGGTCTTGGGAGAAAAACAGGCAGGAGTCCTGTAGAGAAGAATGACTTCTCTGAGCCATAGAGGCAGGGATGGTGGGTTCATTTCTGAAGCTGAGATCTTTATCAGTTAAGGAGGGAAGGCTGTAGAAAGGAAACAGGGAAGAGATCATAGAGTTGAAGAAGAGTAAGGTCAGGAAGTAAGATTCTAGAGAAGAACCAAGAGCAGTGTGTATAGTATGGAGAGGAAAGGTAGAACAACTTTTATGCTCTGCAGGAAGGCAGGATGCCCCCACCAAATTGCTTCTTCCTCTCCTAGTCCCCAATAGTTCCTTCCTTTCACTCTCTCTCTCTCCCCCTCCTCTCTCTGAGTGTGTGTGTGTGTGCCTTGTGCTCTGGCAAGTGCTCTGCTGAGCTTCGTCTTCAGCCCTGAACTTCATCAATGAGGCATGAGAGTTGTCTGGTTCTTTCTGTTGTTTCCATTCATCAGATGTAAGACAGTGGCATGTAATGGGACATGTCTGATAGCTACCCTTAATCTCTCCTCCAGAATCCTTAGCCAGGATGGAGGCTGTTGTGAACTTGTATCAGGAGATGATGAAGCATGCAGGTAAGATGTTGTCTACCAGCCCTTTCCTCCACAATTCCCTGGTTTAATCTCAGGATCTAGGGCTATTCCTAATGAAGTCCTTATGAATCCCTTGACCTTGATCTCATATCTATAGACCTAGTGAGTCCCCCTTTGAACCCTGTGACCCTTCCTGACTCCTTGACCCTTATTCACAGATCCTCGAATCCAGAACTATCCTCTGATGGGATCTCCCCTGCTAATGACCTCCATCCTCCTGACCTATGTGTACTTCGTCCTCTCACTTGGGCCTCGAATTATGGCCAATCGGAAGCCCTTCCAACTCCGAAACTTCATGATTGTCTATAACTTCTCATTGGTGGCACTCTCCCTCTACATTGTCTATGAGGTGGGCCAGAATGCCTAGGCTTTAATTTCTGTTATCAGGAAGGGTGGGCCACAGGGCCAAAATATGGCACCTCTTTTCCAGAGACATTTACATCCATTTCTTCAGCTCATGATGGGGAGGGATTGCTGGGAGAGGGAAATCTGGTGGTTTAATCCACATTCCTTCCTAGTTCCTAATGTCTGGTTGGCTGAGTACATACACCTGGCGTTGTGACCCTGTGGACTACTCTAATAGCCCTCAGGCACTTCGGGTAAGTAGGGACGGGGTAAGTCATAACAAAACCTAGGTGATGCAAACTTCTTAAGTTTGGGGAGATTCATTGTACCGTGTGGAGTACTAAGGCTGCCCTGACTTTTTCCAGATGGTTCGAGTGGCTTGGCTCTTTCTCTTCTCCAAGTTCATTGAGCTGATGGACACAGTGAGTATAGTTGTGAGAACTTGGGGGATGGGGACGGAGGGATGGCCCTAGTTCTGAACCCTTCCCCGATTTTTCTCTCAGGTGATCTTCATTCTCCGGAAGAAAGACGGGCAGGTGACCTTCCTACATGTCTTCCATCACTCAGTGCTTCCCTGGAGTTGGTGGTGGGGCATAAAGATTGCTCCAGGTGAGAGGTGAAGGCCTTTGGGGAAAAGAGGTAACCACAAAGAGCAGAGGCTCAACACGCCTGACCTTATTTGGTTCCGTCACAGGAGGAATGGGTTCTTTCCATGCCATGATAAATTCTTCTGTGCATGTTATAATGTACCTGTACTATGGATTGTCTGCTCTTGGACCTGTGGCCCAGCCCTACCTTTGGTGGAAAAAGCACATGACAGCCATTCAGCTGGTGAGGAGCCTGGTAGTAATTAACTATCCCCCAAATTCCTAGTCTGGAGCCTTTCTCTGTCCTATTTCAATTTTGACACCCTTCCCACTGTCTCTTTCTTTACCCCTTCTACTCCTGTTTTTGACATTTTTGCCTTTCTCTATTCTAGATCCAGTTTGTCCTGGTCTCTCTGCACATCTCCCAGTACTACTTCATGCCCAGCTGCAACTACCAGTACCCAGTCATTATCCACCTTATCTGGATGTATGGCACCATCTTCTTTGTGCTGTTTTCCAATTTCTGGTATCACTCTTACACCAAGGGCAAGCGGCTGCCTCGTGTGCTTCAGCAGAATGGAACTCCAAATGGTGACAAGGTCAAGGCCAACTGAGAAGCAAGGCCTGGATAGGTGCCCACCGAAGTGCCTCAGGACTGCACCTTGGGCAGCATCCATCAGTGTCCTCCCCACTTCTGTGACCAGGGCACATGTGGTGAGGACTGAGCAGGGGATTGGTCCTTCCCGTCCCACAGCTGGGTCTACAGGGACCACCATTTCCGTTCCTCACCCACTCTTCCCGGCCAGCTCCAAAGGATGTGGCCTCAATGCCCTCTGCCACCAGAGCTAGGGGCGGAAAGGGCTGGACACTTCACCCTCCCTGCCTTAAACTTGGGAGAGGAACACTCAGGGCTGGCCCTCAATAGGGCTGGTGGCCTTTTTCCTCATACTGAAGAGGTCAGCAATAAACTCACTACGGACTCAAGCTCGCTCCTCCACCCCTTGCAGAAACAGATGGTTCTGGGCCAAAGGACTAGGTGGGCTGGGGGCCTGGTAATACAGCATTTGGGGGCTGCTTGTTCACTTGTGTCTTAATTAAAGTGACAGAGGAAACCACTGAGGCTGTGTGTATGTAGACCTGTGTGAACAGAGGTGGGGTATAGTTGGCATTATCTGTCTAAACAGAAGGGATGGTAATGGCTCCCACAGCCAGTTCTAGCTTTGATAAGAACAGGAAAAGATGCTGTTGGGACTTAAGTTACCCAAGGAGAAAGGGAGACATTACTTTATTAGAAAATAAAAATAAAAAAACAACAAAATTGAGGGGATGGGGTAGTCTTCAACGGATGCCTTGGTGGATAAGGCTTTTAGTAGCGCTGGCCTTCTCCCGCTCCCGTCGCCGAGCAGGGTCCAACTCAAAGCAACGCCATAGCCGAAGGGTCTCATCTGCTGCTGCTGATGCCACTGTGGCCCCATCTGGGCTCATGGTCAGACTGAGTACCCGGGCTGTGTGACCTGGAGCAAGTGAAAGCAGTTCATGTGAATGTAGACATACCCATAGCACTTCAAAAAAGATTTTTTTTTTGGTACCAGTCCTGGGGCTGGAGGTTGGCCTAGATGTTGTCCCTGAGTTTTTTTGCTCAAGGCTAGCATTCTACTACTTTAATTTTGGTTTTCTGGTTGTTAATTGGAGATAACAGTGTCATGGACTTTCCTGCCCAGGCTGGTTTTGAAGCCTGATCCTCATCTCAGCCTCCTGAGTAGCTAGCTAGCGGCCACTGGTACCCAGCTGTCCTTTAATTTTGACAATTTTATGCATACCATAAAATGTACCTTTTAAAATGTACTATTTAGTGGGATTCTAGTGAATACTATTACCACTATCTAGTCCCAAAACATTTCATTACTTCTCATTACTCCTCTCTGCCCTTGCAATCATTAGTCTGTTTTGTCTCTTTACACTGACCTACTTGGTTATTATTCATAGTCAAATAATATGTGGCTTTTCTGTCCTCACTTAGCCACCTAAGTGGCTTTATTTATTTTTGTCAGTTGTGGGGCTTGAACTCTGGGCCTAGACACTGTCCCTGAGCTCTTCAGTTCAAGGTTAGCACTTTACCACTTGAGCCACAGTGCCACTTCCAGTTTTCTTGTGGTTAATTGGAGATAAGAGTCTCAAGGGCTATCCTGCCTGGACTGTCTTTGAACTGTGATCTCAGATCTCAGCCTCCTGAGTAGACAGGATTACAGGCGTGAGCCACACTGGTGCCTAGTTTAGTGACTTACCTTTAAGCTCAGCCACCTTGGCCATGGTTGGGTACTTCCAAATAACCAGCTGGTTCTGGGCAAAGCCATGGCCTGAGATGAGCTCTTTGTAGTGGGGAGACCAGAGGATAGAACACACCTGTTGAGAAACGCTGGCATGAGTATGACCTACAGATAAGGCTACTCAAATCAGAACTGAATCGATTTTAGGATTAGGTATTCTGCCAGATGTTACAGACTTTCATGGTCAGTCCTTTTCAGATGAGTCAATCACAAGTTCAATAAGTTGCCTAAACTACATGAAAGTTTTTGACAGTAAGAATCTGAAATTGAGCTATGTGACGATAGACTCCAGGCCTAAAGTGAAGGCTGCTTGTAGATGGAATGGAAAGAAAGCTGCTGCAGGTAGGCTGACCAGCAATAGCTGCCAAGTATTTTTCTAATTTGGATTGTATGTTGTAGGTGATGGGAGCCACTAGAGGTACTAGAGGACAGTACTACATCATTTCTACTCAGGTCAGAGTGGAAACAGATTAAGGGAGATACACAATGCTTTGGAAAGGGGGTAAGGCTTAAATGGTAGACTGCCTGCTTAGCATGCAAAGCCCTAAGCTCAAACCCCAGTACTACGAGAGACAACTCAGAACAACAAAAACCTTGAGCCCTTCTGGAGGTTCCTGTAAGCTTCTCACAGCTTGCAGTAGATCTGGATTCAAGCCCAACCCTAGCCCCAGAGGTGCATGCTGCTTCAGCCCCTGCCCTGGCAGGTCAAGGTGGGCTGCTGCCAACTCACATCTGAGGTCAGTTAAGTCCTCTGCCAGTGTGTCCTCTGGAGAGCCTGAGGGAAGCAGGGAGACTCCAACTTGTACCTGGCTTCCAATAGTGCCCACCAGGCTTTGTCACTGCTCACCCTTATTTACAGCTCATGGTGCCTGAGTTCTACTTCTTGTAAAACACTAGTTGGGCCACTTTTCTGAGATCCTGTGTACCCAAGGGTAACTCACTCCCCAAGGGATTTGAAGCCTCATGTGGAATTGGGGAGCCCAGGCTCTGAGGGGGACCTGGGGTGGGGGAAGGTCGCTAGGCTGGAAGGGAGCCTGGACTGTGAGTGGGCAAGTGGCCTGTGGGGAGGGGAGAACACAGGCTGTGAGGGAGCACATATAAAAAAAAATCAAAAGAAAAATCCTGAATTGTTGGTCTGATACAATGGCTATGGCCTAGAATCCCAACTCCTTGAGGGGTGGAGATTGGGAGGAGTCGTTTGAGCCTAGCATAGCCAAAAAATTAGACTATCTCAACCAATTGTTAGGGTGTTGCATGTATCATTCCAGCTAAGTGGCAGACATAAATAAGAGGATCTTGGTCCAGGCTGGCCTAGCAAAAAACGCAAGAGCCTATTAGAAAATCACTAAAAGCAAAAAGAGATGCAAGAATGATTCAAGGGATAGAGCAACTAGCCTCACAGGTGTGAGGCCCTGAGTTGAAACTCTAGTATTCCCTCTGCCTTCACAGAAAAACACCAACAAAAAACAACGACAACAAAAAAGCCCTGAAGACTGGTCAAGTAGCCCACAGAAAGAATAAATGCCAATGATAAACTAAGGTACAACTAACTGACAGATGCTGATGAGAAGAACAAATAGATTCTAGGAGGCTTTTCAGATTCCAGATTCCTGAGCAGGTTTTGCCATTCTGAAGCAAGAGGGCAGTGAGATAAGCCAGACTTAGAAATGGAGTTCAGGAATGAGACCTAAGTCAGCAGTTCATCTACAGAACAACAAAGTAGACATGGTTACAGAAGACTGCATAGAGTAAGGACAACCTGGAGTGAGATGCTGGAACTGGTAAAAGTACCTGGGAATGGGCATCCACGGCGCTCAGACAAGCCCCAGAGCAGACATTCCAGATGCGAATGTGTCGGTCACTGGTGCCTCCTCCTGTTGCTAGGATATTAGATTGCCAAGGACACCACGCAACAGCCTAAGTGGAATAAAAGCAGGATTCAGTCAGTGGTGGTAGAGCTAGACAAGGAACTAAAGGGGGCTGCAGATGAACCCAGTATCTAATGCTACCACACCATCTCCTTTTCATAGACCTGAAGGATGCCCTGAGGGTCTGCAGAGACCTCAGCCCAACCCGTTCTTACCTTGACAGCCCCTTGATGCTGAGTGAATGTTTGCAGGGGAGCCCAGCCACCTTCTCCAGGAGCACTAGGCCACACATTGACCACATTATCATTGCCACCACTGGCCAAATGTCGTCCATCTGGGGCCCAGCGCAGCCCACACACTTCCTGACTGTGGCCACTCAGTGTGGCCACATGGTGCTCTGCTACCCGAACATCATGATGGTGGATGTGGCCGGAGCGTGAACCACTAGGGGATGGGAAGAAGAGATTTAGGTTCTATGGATGCACAAAATACAAACCAGAGCTGCTTCCATGTATACATTAGGGACAAAAGGTAAACTTAGTTTTTTCTATAGAATGGTAAAAACAACAACTAAGCAGCACAAAAACAAACAAAACCACTGACCTGGACAGGATATAGCTGTTCCAACTTAGGGAGCTTACTCGAGCAGAGTGACTGGTCATGTTTCGAAGCCGCTTCTGCTGTTGTACATCCCAGAGCTGCAGAGACAAGACAGTAGAATGAAAAAATGAGGCTTGGCATTAACATCCTCTAACTGGGCAAAGCAAGTCCCTCCAAAGTCAAGTGGTCATAAGTATGCAGGGACCATTCTCACCTGCACCTCAGCATTGCTGGTGCCCACAGCCAGATAGTTGCCTTCTTTGATCCAGGCCACAGAGGATACATAGTCCCCAGGCTGCTCCATTTGCAACAGCTGCAGGATGTCACCAGAACTTGCACTCCATAAGTACACACTATTGTCCAGAGCTACAGCCAGCACATTCCCAGAGCTCCAATCCACAAGGTTGAGGTCTAGCCAAAGGCAGAAATGGAAGAGCATGAGCATCCTGTTTGCTTGGTCCTCAAGACATCTTTCTCCTTCCACTGACAGGGCTGCACTTACAGTAGTCATTTCGGATTTCGGGAGCATCCAGGATACGGTCTGGCAGTGAAGGAATGTAACGGCAGGTCTTCCGGCTGGAGCCTGGGGTAGCCTTTTGGCTGTAAAGTACTTTCAAACTGTTCTGGTAACCTGTGGCAACGGAATGGGCCTAGATCCATGGGAAAAACTGGCATCTCCCTTATCCTCCACCTTATTGGAAAGGAGTTCCTCTCACCCCCTACCCAATGAACTGACACCAAACTCCCTAGAACTCTAGATCTCACCTTCAGGGGCATTCTGTGGTTTTCCACTGAGACGAAGGATCTTGGCTTCCTCCACGTCAAAACCGTTCAGATTCAAAGCCCAGGCTTTTTGATGCTCCTGGTATATATAAGAGTTGTGGTGAGACAAACTGGTATCCAAGGGACACAGTCAGGTCCCATGGCTTTTGCTCCTTTGGGAAACATACCTTCTTGGTGGGGGTCTCGCTGTTTTCAGGCTGGTTTTCTTTGCTCAGGAGGAAGCTGGCCACCTCCATCTGGGAAGCACTACGATGGGGGATATAGCGGTCACCGCCAGGTTTGCTAGGGGTGGTCTGAGTCTTGGAGTTAGATTTGCCTGGGGTGGGGAAAGAGAAGCCAGACAGTCTGACCAGGCTTCGGAAGAAACAAGAAGACTGACTGCTCTCCGGCGGGTACCTGTCCCTCTCGCCCTGGGTTCCCGCCGCACCCCAACTCACCAGGAGTCCGGCCCGGGGTGCGGCCGGCGCTGTGGGATCTGTTGGCGGCCTGCATGGGTGAGGGGGCCGGCCCCGCCGCTTCCTTGGCCTTGCGCTGCCA